GCTAGAATTTAAATTTTTGTTTGAGTTTACATGCAATCTGGTAATATATTTGTTTATTTTCTGTGCATATACATTTCGTTCATACTTACTTCTTTCTTTCGTGATCGGAAGACGATTATTAAAAATACAGCTGTAAATTGATACCACTGTAGTTGCGTATCGTGAGCAATAAGTGGCAACAATGTCGGCGACAATGAATTCAAGCGATTGACACATTGCCATGAATACACTTGATAACTGCTTGCAGACTTCCAATGAACATTGTTTATGTTTGGACTGTTGAAACAATAGCAAAATAAAGGGTTGGGCAACTACCCTTTTGTTTAGGCTTGGGAAGAACAATGCAAGCTTTTTACAAATAATTTCAGCTGGATGTACGTTGGTGGGCGGGTGTTGAGAGTTACTGGGCGGCCGTAAAACTTGATGGGCGGGCCGCCCGCCTAAAACCCCTTGTGGAGAACACTGGTAAAAATCCGTGCATATTAATTACCTAATTTGCATGATAATTAGCTATTTTTTAGTGGTTCCATGACTGTTCCACTGATATCTAAACAACCACTCATTGGATTTTGATGAAACTTGGTACATAGATGCTCTGAACTCATGCTAGGTTTTGATTAGTTTTTGGTAATAATCCGTGGATACTAATTACCTAATTTGCATAATGATTAGTCAATTTTCGGTTTTTCCACTGATATCTCAAGTACTAATCATCACATTTCAATGAAACTTGGTACATAGATGTCATACGACACTGCACAGACCTGATAGTTTTTATGGTAATATCAGTACATATTAATTACCTAATTTGCATAATTAATTAATTTTCAGCATTTGATATAAGTAGTTAGCATTACATTTCAATGAAACTTGGTACTTACATACTCAAGGACTATGCAGAGATTGATTGTTTTCGATAAATATTTGTGCATATTAATCACCTAATTTGCATAATTAGTTAATTTTCAGCTTTTCCACGGGTATCTCAAGTACTAATCATCGCATTTCAATGAAACTTGGTACATAGATCCTTTAGGACTATGCAGAGACCTGATTAGTTTTAGGGTAAATAATTGTGCATATTAATTACCTAATTTGCATAATTAATTTTCAGCTTTTCTACTGATATCTAAAGTACTAATCATCATATTTCAATGAATCTAGAATTATGCAGACCCAATTAGTTTCCGGTAAATATTTGTGCATATTAATCACCTAATTTGCATAATTAACCAACTTTCACACTGATATCTCAGTACTATACATCACACATCATGATGTACA